CTCTCTCTCTCTCTCTCTCTCTCTCTCTCTCTCTCTCTCTCTCTCACACACACACACACACACACACACACACACACACACACACACACCTCCTCCCCATTGTGCGACCTCGCAACCTCCTCGTCCTCCCTTGCGGCACCCCTCCTCCCGCTCGCACGAACTCCTTCCGTTAGCGCGACCTCCTCCTCCCACTGGTGCGACCTCCTCCTCCCCCTCCTGCATAACCTCCTGCAACCTCTCGTCCCCATCGCGCGACCTGCTCCTGCCCCTCCCACGACTTCCTCCTCCCCTTGCACGACCCACTCCTCTCTCGGACCTCCTCCCCATTGTGTGACCTCCTCCTCCCCCTCGTGCAACCTGCTCCCCCCCTTCGTGCAACCTCCTCCCCGCCCTAGTGCTACCTGCTCTTCCCCCTCGCACATCGTCTTCGGACCTCCTCTTCTCCTCGCACGACCTCCTCTTTGCACGACCTCCTCCTCCCCCTCAGGAGTCCTCTTATGACCTCCTCCCACCTCTCTTCTGACCTCCTCATCTTGCTCGCACGACCTCCTCATCCTGCTCGCGTGACCTCCTCATCCCGCTCGTGCGACCTCCTCATCCTGCTCGCGCGACCTTCTCCGACCTCTCTTCTGACCTCGTCACCCTGCTCGTGCGACCTCCTCATCCCGCTCGAGCGACCTCCTGCAGCCTCTTGTCCTCCTCGTGCGACCTGCTCCTCCGCCTCGCACGACCTCCTCCTCCCCCTCGTTTCGCGGCGATCTCCCTCACCGACAGCGGGGCTTCGCACTCCTCTATATCTTCTCGCTCGCTCGCCGCACCACAATCTCCATCATCGATCATACACTTTGCTCACGACCGCTGCGCTGCTGTTGGCTCATCCTCTTCTCTCCCTCCACTGAGATGGCGTCTCGTTCAATGCTACCTGCTCCTCCGCCTCGCACGACCCTCCTCCCCCTCGTTTCGCAGCGATCTCCCTCAGCGACAACGAGGCTTCACACTCCTCTATATCTTCTCACTCGCTCGCCACACCACAATCTCCATCACCGATCAAACACTTTGCTCACGACCGCTGTGTTGCTGTTGGCTCATCCTCTTCTCTCCCTCCACTGAGATGACGTTTCGTCCAACGCTTGCCTGCTGCATTGCAACGCGCACTGGCGCCTCGCCATGCCTGCACACGCAACCTGCACGGCATGCCCAGTTCCCTTCTGCATTTGCAAGCGCTCGGTTGCCTTCTCGCACGGCGCTGGCTCTTTGCACTCTCCCCGCGCGCTCGCTTGTCTTTTTCCACCGCGTTTCTTTTTTGCATCCTGCCATGCTGCCGCTTTCCCCAGGTGGCCCCCCGCTCCGTTTTGCTGGCATGTGGTTTTCTCGGCGCTTGCTTTCTGCACCCCAGTGCCGCTCTCCCCATGCGTCCCACGACCCCACGGTTCCCCCTGCGACTTGTCGGTCCCTCTCGATTTCCTCCCAGGTGACACGGGCCCCTGCCTCGATTTCTCGTGGGCCCGCGATCGCGTGTCGTTGGGCCCTCTGTAACTTTTAAGTGTATAGGGATAGGGATATTTAGGCAGATTGGACGTACCCCTAGGATGGGGCGGTCTAATCCTATGCCATACGTGAGAAAGGGTACAGGGGTTAATCAACTGAGAGTTGAATGGACTAAGTGATCTGATAAAAAACTTCAGGGTTGGTGAGAGATCTGATTGCGCTAACTTGTGCGCTCTGTGAGTTTGTCTTTTGGGGCGTCTTTTGATAGCTAGTCACTTAGATCCTCGCCAAGTGCTGGAGCGATAGAGTAGTGATGGTTGGAGGACAAAGCTATGGTTGGAGGAGAAAGCTTGCCATAAGAAAGGATGGCCTTATTGAGCGTCAGAACTAGAGTTAGATCATGATAACATCTCAAAAGAAATATCATGGAAGTATTTATAAGTGTCAAAACTTTTTTTTTAAGGGTTAATTTGCAAAATACCCTCGTAAGTTGAGATATATGCTATGTTACCTGATCGGACGTCCGGAACCCCCTTGACCGTCCGGGACTGTCCGATCGGACAACCGGTCGGTTGTCCGTTGGGGCCCCTACGTCCGATCAAAAAAAATATAGGGGGGGGGGTTAGGACACAGACTTGGGCGGCGCAGGGGTGGACTGCGGGGACAGGCGAACCCGGGCCGCCGACGGGAAGCATTGTTGGAGGCCGGTGGGGCCTCCAAAAGCACAAAAAAAAAAGGCCTAATCTGGGCTGTCAGATCTGCGAGATCAACTGCACAGATTGGGCTATTTTCAAATTCGAAATGGGGGCAGTGGCGTTCTCCCCTGTGCGTCTCGGCCCGCGCGCTGTCGCCGAGTTCGGTGTTGCCATTGCCGAACTCCGAGGTCGACGAGCGCAACCCCACGCGCCATCGCCCGCC